CGGCTCCGTCGCCTCGGGGTTCCACAGCTGGTACGTCACGAACTTGGGCACAGCGAAGGTAAGCTCGTGTAGTTGGTAGTTCTCCGCGTTAGTGGCACCGATCATTACCGCCGCGGCGATGCGCGCCTCCGCACCGCGCGGCACATCGATAGCGCACACAAGCGTCCCTGATGGCTCCTCCGCGGCAAAGAAGGCGTACTCCCGGCCGGGGAACACCGCCTCGCTGTGCAGGACGCAGCCTTGAATGATTGTGTCTTGGTAGCCGTGGTGCACGCTAAAGACGACATCGAGCTTCCCCGACTTTGCGTTCGGCAGCAACTTGTGGCGCACAACGGTTCCCGCCTGCGGCAATGTCACATCAGAGGAACCCTTGCGCTGCCGGTCCAGCTGCTCTTCTACACTGGCAAGCTCCGCGGCGAGTGCCTGCCTCTCGCGCTGCAGCATGTCGAGCTTAAACGTCTCACGGCCGTGCACCGCTTCCTCCTGCTGCTGCTCGCCTGCCAGCTCGAGCCCACGCACCACACCGTCAACTGTGCAGACAATCGGCAGTGGCTGCCCATTCTGCCGGTAATCGTGCGCGAGTACGGCGCTGACGGGCGCGGCGTGTCTCTCCTTGAACAGTACACCCCGCTTCTCCGCATCGTCGCCACGGACCTCCACACGTCCGTTGCTCCACCCCACCACGAGCTCCGGCACGCCGTCGAAGTCCACATCGCAGAAGGCAGCGGCGACAGGGCGGTGCTTACCCTTCGCGCGCCACACCCGCTCAGTGCGATCGTACACGCCTACAGTACCGTTGACGGAAAGGTACGCAAACCGACCGGGGATACCACTGTACACGAGCTGGTTCACCTTGTCCGCCTCCATGATACTTGCAATAGTGTCTTCACCGTCAAACACGCGCAACTCAAAATCTTCCGAGGCCGCCACTAACGACAAAGGGCGGCCCGCATCGCCACTGCTACCACTGCCACTACCAGCAGCAGAGACGGTCGGAGCTTCACTAGAGTCCCAGGGCATTAGCATCAGTGCCGTTACCTGATCGCCTGTCACCGTCCAGAGCGATTCCATCCCACTCGCGTCGAATCCATTGATCGTGCAGTTACCACCTACAATTGTCAGCGGGGTGGGGACGCCGCCAGTGCCGTTTGGGCCTCTGGCGGTATTCACGACACCACACGCCACTGCCTGCACTCCGTCCTCCACTTCCCTGTAAAAATACTCGCGGTTCCTATCCACGTCATACGCGAGCAGTGAGGTGGCCGCGCCGAAGTATAGGGCGTCAGTGTCTTTCCTATCACTGGTGTCCGGCAGTCGGCCTACCGCCAGCGCTGTTGGCGTCCTACCAAAGTTCAGCGTCCGCACAGGATTTTCTGCACTGCGTGTCTCATCCCCACTCCGCAGTACTGCTTCTGCACCTGGATTCTCGCTCGTGTGGATCACGAGCCGCTGTGTATTTGTGGCACATACAAGAGACGGTGTTTTGCCGTCGAAGTGTCCTATTGTGGCCAACCCCTCTAGCAGCTGCGCGTCTAGCTGCAGCTCAAAGACAGACCGCATGGCGTAGTAGTTCGCCTGCGCCGACATGGTGAAGAGAAGGTGATGAAACGATATTTTTTTCCAAGCGTGCCAAGTTTCTTTGTGGAGACTTTCTTCCCGCTGCTATCTATAGCTGTTTTTTTTGGGGGGGAGGCTTTGATTTCTGCCTTCGCCCTAGCAGCTGCTTACTCTCGCTGTCGCCGCCTCTGCTCTACAGAGCGGCACAAGGACAGAAGGAAATAGGAGACAGAAAGGAGCAGGAAGAGGGCGATGCACAAAATAAGCACAGAGGAGCCACATACAAATGTACTTAGCCGCCGTTGTTATTACTGCTTCTGCTGCAGTCTGTGTGCAGCTGCACGAGTGATCGAGCAGACTGTGCGATTCACGCAGATAGGACGAGTCCGTCCCCCCTGCGGCGCTGCTACGGACACTAAGGAGGGGAAATCGTACGGGAAAAACCGAAATAATTGGCTGCCAGAGGCAAAGCGTATCGGAAGAGAAGAAGTTTGTCGTGGTAAACTAAAGGAAGAAAAACACCAAGGAAAGCAGGCAGGGTAGTGGAAACAAGAAACCAAAAAAACACAAGGAAGCGCAAACGAAAAACCGAAACAATGCATGCCCCTGCTTGACATTGGTCCAGGCAGGAGGAAGAGCAGCCGCAGCAGCGGAAGAAGAAGGAGAAATGTCGGGAGACCCTTCAGTGTGGCGCGACTCCCTTCACGCCCGACGCTGTCCCGCCTTCCTTTCCCCTCCCCCATTTGGTCCCTGCCGCGTCCGCCCCTCTCGCCCGCCTGGCCTGCCGTAGTTGCGGCGGTTAACACAAACTGAAGAGGGAGCACCGGAAACAAAACAGGGAACGGCCCGAAAGCACGAATACACAGGCGATGAGAGACAAAGAGAGAGAAGGTTACAGAGAGTGTGAAGGCCGAACACACACGCACACATAACAATAAAAAAAAAAGAACGCTGTCTCGAAGCAACAAGAAAAAAACAAATCTGGAAACGCAGCGAGATTTGTCAGACGCGGGTGGCTGCAGAGCCCACAAGCCACCGTGAGGGAAAACCCCAAGCAAGCCACTGTCTGTGTAATGGGAAGCGTGGAGGAGAGGGGGGCCTGGTGTCGCTGCGTCCGGAGAAAAAAACTCACCCGAATGGAATGGACAAACGCGGAGCATGGACCAAGCAAAGAAGAAGCCAAGGCAAAAACGAACATCGAAAAAAAATGCAAAATGGGAAAACAAAAACACACTCAAAGATGGCACGAGGGCAGAACCGAGCGAAGAGAAGCACTGGAGATATTACGCAACATCTATATATATATATATATATATA